GAGAACCGATCAACAGAGGATGCAATCTCCTCTGTGGTCCACACTGCACTCAACCACCTGGAGCAGAAAAACTCTTACGTCCGTATGCTCTTTGTGGACTTCACATCCGCCTTCAACACCATGATCCCCCAAACCCTGATGGACAAACTATCCACACTAGGACTAAGCCCCTCCATCTGCAACTGGGTACTAGACTTTTTAACAAACAGACCACAGTTAGTGAGGATCCACAACCTCTCCTCCTCCACCATAACCCTCAGCACTGGCTCTCCTCAGGGATGTGTGTTGAGCCCCCTTCTGTTTACTCTGCTCACATATGATTGTGCAGCTACCCATCCAGGCTGTCACATTGTAAAGTTTGCAGATGATACAGCGGTGGTGGGATGCATCACAAACAATGATGAGTCCAGCTACAGGCAGGAGGTGGAACACCTGGAGAGCTGGTGTAAAAAGAAGAACCTTCAGATCAATGTGAAGAAGACAAAGGAGATGATTGTGGACTTCAGAAGGAACAAAAACACCTACACCCCCCTGAACATAAGAGGATCTGCGGTGGAAGTGGTCTCCAGCTACAAGTACTTGGGTGTACACATGAATGACAACCTCAGCTGGAGCAACAACACCACCAGCCTGATCAAGAAAGCTCATCAGAGACTCTACTTCCTCAGACGGCTGAGGCGAGCTGGTCTGGGAAGCTCAGTCCTCACCTCCTTCTACAGGTGTGCAGTGGAGAGCATCCTGTGCTCGAGCATCAATGTGTGGCATGGAGGCTGCACAGCTGCAGAAAGAAAAGCTTTGCAGAGAGTGGTGAAGGCTGCACAGAAATCTGTTGGAATCAGTCTCCCCACCATCACAGACATCTACACCTCCAGATGCAGGAAGAGGGCCACCTGAATCATGAAGGACCCCACCCACCCAGCACACACACTTTTTGCCCCACTCCCCTCAGGAAGGAGGTTAAGGAGCATTAAGTGTAGAACCACTAGACTGAGGAACAGCTTCTACCCTGAGGCTGTTAGACTCATGAATCTCTAACTAGAATAATCACTGTGAAAAACCATATCATGTTGCTGCTGATCTGTTTCAATGTTGATGTGTTCATGCGTGCACATCTGCTCACAGACTCATGTTCATGTTTGTGCTGATGTTCAATGTTTTATGTTATGAGTGCTTAGTGTATATTTAGTTGATGTTTTTCTTAGTTCATATCTTAGATGTTATTACTGTTGTTCTTATACATTTTATTGTTGGATGTAACTGGGACCCTGTGTACATAATTTCGCTCCACCACATGTACCACATGAGGTGCGAATGACAATAAAGAAACTCTGACTCTCTGACTCTGTGCATGTGAAATTATGTTTTATTATTTCATTTAATTACCTGTTGCTTTTTTAAGTGCACCAGTCTCTGATCCTTTTCACCACTTTCTTAAATTTAAATGTTAAAGCCCAAATGCTGTGGTCGTCATTATCATCAAGTTGCTAACGGGACATGCTAACAAGACTTGCTAACGCTGCTAACAAGATCCTCCATCTGCCTGAACGGACTGAACTTTACGAACCTATTCAGTTCCACGGAGAAACCTTGGATGCTCTCTGTCTGCCGGACACGGTTCTGGAGGGCAGTTGCTGCGGTAGTTATTATCACCAAGCTGCTAACGGGACCTGCTAATAAGACCTGCTAATGCTGCTAACAAGACCATGCCACTAATCAAACCACACAGCTGATAGGACCATGCTGCTGTAGATGCATTTCTTTTGCACTTTTGGCATCTTGTTTTTGTATTTTTGTTGCATGCTTTGGTGTTTTTTGCTGTTGTTTCTTTGGCGAGTCGAGACGGTTCTTCTCGTCCTCAGTATTTCATTGCATTGTTGACCTTGTGTTGATTTGCATAAGACAAAAAAAAAAAACCTAACCTAAAAGTTAACTATTTATAGTGCTTTCTGAACTTTTAATTATATGTGAAAAGACAGAGCTTTTTCAAACTTACAGGTGGCCCAAAAGGCATCATGGGAGGCCAGGAGGGTGGAATGGGTCCATGTCCACCAGACTGCCTGCCTTCCCCCTGGCAGAGAAAATATACATATATTTGATCCCACTATATCAAAGCAGTACATCAAAAAGCTTTTAATTAAAAGGAAAGTTTTATGAACTTTCTTTAGCAAATTTCATCTGGCTTAAAACAAGTGCAGTCTGAGATATTTCACTTCTTTTAAAAGCAACAACTGATCAAATAAATCATAAGAAAGTGTTGGCAGAACGAAAAATTGAGACAAGTCCAAGTTAAATTTACTGCAATCCGATATCTTTGCAATAAATGCCATCTCAGAGAGCTCTTGTTTACAGCCCTTTTTCACTGCATTTATTGTGAACAATTTACTGTTTACACTTTATTTTACACAATGCAGAAAAAGGTAACCAGCAGATTAAACATGTACATACAGTAAACATATAAAATAATCTACATTTATGTATGTACTTGAAGTCTAATAAATCAGTTTCCTTACCCGTCTATTATTATACATGGGAGGGGGGCCTGGGGGAAATCCAGGGAAACCTGGAGCCCCCATAGAAGGCAGTTCTTTGTGAGCCTTGGACTTTTGGGTTTTACTGTGAGGCTGGTGTTTGTGCTGGTTCGGTGTGGTCGACAGGTCACTTTCTTCTGTTGAAGATTCTTCCTCATTCACCTACAAACAGAAAAAAAGTTGTCTTGATAACTTTTTGACAACTACAAAAAGATATAGCTAGATCATTTTAAACGCTTGCAGGATGCTAATGCTTTAGGAGAGGAAATTTAATTGTTTTAACTCCAACATAGTACTTTTTTTTTTTACTTCTCTATATTTTAGAATGTAATAAAAAAATGTGTTCTTAAAGAAAAAAACTATTCAAATAAAACAATTTTCAGATTACCGGTATAACAGTTTCTCCAACATGAATATAATTTTTTACAAAATTACCACATTTGAAACGGGCTGACATAGTTTCCACTTGATGAGAAAAATCAAGTGTTAAACTTTGTTAAATGCAAGTTCTATTAAACACTTCAATTTCTATGAGCAAATGTTAGTGCGCGTCTAAAAATGTCTTTAAAATGTTAAACATGTCAATTTTCATTGAGGAAAAAAAATATTCTGTTGATTTTTAAGTCATCCAAAAGTCGTTACAGTCTTAATTTAAAAAGTTCTAATTGAACAGGATATACAGACAGACTCAACATAATACAGAACAAGTACAACAAGAACAAAATTGACACAAAACAACAGCAGACCTTGATACACTGATGAAAATTATAAACTGAATTCAGTTTAATAGTATTGCCATAAACATATTTGATGTGTGCTCCTTCACCTTGGCATTTGTTTCTTCTTCAGCCTCAGAAATTTCTGACAGCAAGTCTTCGAGGTTCTGCTCCTCCTCGTTGCCATAGCCAGTATAAACCACAACACAAGTGCCCTTCTTCTGGTCTATGGTGGAGATGGTGGCTGCATACAGCTGACCATCTGCTGACCAGTAAGCACAACAGGAGTCTCCAACCTGCCACTGTGACACAACATAAAACATTATTAATTTGTGTTGGTTGCCTTAGTCGAAGTTCAAATGTACCAAAAGTCAATGAAACACTAATTTGATTTGTGGTGAAACATTTTAATATTCAAAAGAACTAATGTACAAGATTGTATGAAACATTTGGATCACTCTGTGCCAGCACACCTGGGCACATCAGTTCCGTTCTTAAAGAGAGTCAATCAGTCAGACAGAAACATTTTCAATATACAGTCCAAAAGCAATATTTAAACTCCCTTTTGTACAAAATAATAAAGTTTGACTTTTACTTCTTTTAATGGACTGAACTTTTGAGTATTTATAAAATGATAAGAGCATTCTATGTACTAATAATGTAGTTTTATAACAGCTAAAAGTTACTTGGCAGTTTAAACACAATTATCACAAACTTCAACAAGACAAAAAAATGTTGCTCATATAAAAACGATTATCTTTAAATACAAAAAAAGCAACTTTTTTTACTTATATGTTTTGTTGGGTTTTATTCATCTACATTAATGGCTTGAAAATTCTGATATATTTCACCAAAATATAAAATAATATACACAAGTAGTATAATAATATACAATATAGAATATACAATATATAATAATATACAAAAGCATACAAGACAAAAACTTTGGTTATAATAAAACCTTTTTATTTTGCATGGTCCAAAATTAGAGGTTTGGTCTGATGGTGTTGTGCCAAGGTTCCTGATAGAACTTGTGCCCCCTTTGCTGGAGCAGAAACAAAGCAGGGAAAGCTCATCTAAATGACTACGCATTGACTTTACTCGTGTAAACCTCAAAATTAGGTTTAAATTTATTGTGCGAGTTAAACAGGGATAATGCAGGGTCACATTCTGGCAGACGTAGTCAGAGGTAGTGACTCCACTTAAATAATTCTTTGTCCCCTTTAATTTTCTAAGAAAAAGATCAAATATCTGAAAAATTACAGAAATAAATCAGTCATGATGAGAAATCTTTCTAATCTGAAACATGTTTATGCTAATTATTATTTGCCCATTTTGGTGTGTGTATGGAGGGTCACAAATTCTGGCAAAGGTGGTGAGCCTGCCATTTGCCTGGTTAAATAAAGGTTAATAAATAAATGTGGTCCCTCTGAAATTAAAGGAGTAACAAGCTTTTCCTGCTTTTTGCATGCATCTTTTCAGGGATATTTACCTTGGTGCAACAGTGGCACTGCATGACCTCTGTATCAAAATGTGATTTATGTATTTTAAAAACACAACTTCATCTGTGCACCATGTCTTGTTTTCTTTACCTCTTTATCTGGTGCTGCATTAGCTCTTTTTCTGGTCTGGCTCTTTTTGTTGTTCTTCCTTTTTTTCCCCGGATTATTTTTCTTGGATGTTTGTGGTTCATCTTCACCCTTAAGAGCAGTCTGACACACACAGAAAGACAGCAGAAGAGTAAGGAAAAAATTAA